AAAGTTGCTGACTTCCACATTAGACCATTGAAAAGCTGAATATATTTAAAAACATTAAAATCATTCAAAGGATGATCTTTGCTCAAAACAGAATTGGATTAGAAATCAATTCTAATTCAAAAATCAATTCTAATAACAAAAATAGAAAATCTAAACGATTTGGAAATTTGAAATAATTTGGAAATTAAACAACACATTTGTAAATAACCCATGGGTCAAAGAAAAAAATCACAATAGGAAATTTTAAAAATATTTCTAACTTAATTTAAAAACATATCAAAAGTCATGGAATATAGCAAACCAATCAGTACTTAATGGTGAAAGAATGAATGCTTTTTTCCCCAAGATTGGGAATAAGGCAAGGATGCCCACACTTGCTGCATGCATTCAATGGAGGTTCTACTGGAGGTTCTAACCAGAGCAATAAGGCAAGAAAAATAAAGGCATACAGATTGGAAAGGAAGAAATAAAATTGTCTTTAATTACAGATGATATTATAAGGAATCTGAAAATAAAATCTGGAATTGATAAGTGAATTTTGCCCCATTGTAAAACACAACCTTATGCAAAAATCAGTTGTGTTTCTATATAACAGTAATTAACAATCCAAAAAATGACATTAAGAAGTCAATTTTATTCACAATAATATTAAAAGGAGTACCTTGCAATATGTAATACAATAAGTACAATATCTGAACACTAAAAGTGATAGAACATTGCTGGAAAAAATTAAAGAAAATCTCAATAAACGAATATTCTAATATTGTAAAACCGGATTATGAGATGGTTTTACAAATCCATAATTTAATAAAAATAACTAAGCAGTACACTGACAATTAGTGAATTTTATGGTATATAAATTGTACCTCAATAAAGCTTATTCAAAAAATAAGATTTTTTTTAAAATGACCTTTTTGAGTACAGTATCAGTCAAATTTTAGGTTTACGTTTTTGAAATAAAAAACTAAGAAAATGTGAGATTTTATTAAAAGTAAGATATTTTAGGTTTCTTCAGTCTCTACCTCTTAAAAACCTGAACATTCATCATTATAGATTTTTAAATTCAAAACCTTCAAAAATACAATTTATGTGTCACCATTAAAAAGAAAACTTGGATTGTGTATTTTGTTGATGTTATTTGTTAAAGCTATTATATATTATGCTGGTTACCATCAGAAGGAGAAAATAGAATGTTGTGAATCTCTCTAAGTTATACTTATTTCAATAATTGGCATGGCAATAGAGCAGTTGAAGAATTTTCTCATTTGATGAAAGTTGGCAATTAGCAGATTTTCCACAGCAAGGGACCCTTTAATATTGCTGGTCTTCTCAGTGTGAAAAATTCACACATCACATAATCCCTCTATTAAATAGCTTCCTCTTAGGTGGGGAAGTCCCCTGTGAAGCAGCACCTGTCATGTTTATTTTTAGAGAAATATGAATTAACATTTTTCTTAATTTTGGTTCTTTTAGGGAATGAAGTTTTAAATTTGCGTGATTTTAATCTTTTTTTTTTAGAAGAAAGGGAAATAATAAAGCAACTTTTGACATAGGTACTTTTGTACCTATTGATAGTCTGACCCTCTGTCTTTGAAGTGCATGCATAGAATTTCAGAAGAAATTTAAATGTTGTCTTCATTTTTGTATGCCTATCTTCTTGGAAAGATCTTTAATGCTCCAGAGTGCTCTTCACACAATGACAATAAAGAGTGGTAAATACTACCAGGTATTGGAGTAAATAAATGCTCAGGACCCAACTTACATTTTCTAAAACTCTTGCCCCCACCACTTTCTTGGTCTTGAGTAGGAATCTAGGCAACTGATAAGGATATTTTGCCTGGAATATTTTCTAGTAGCAAGTGATCAGGTGGACAGCCCTTTTTTAACAGCAGTTTTTTCAGGGAGGATAATGGCAGCTAATGCTGCCAGATGGCAAAGGGATCCTCAGATCAGAGATCTTAGGGTTAAGAACAGGAAGGGGTTAGAGACCATTTAGTCAAAAGCAGTCATTTTATAGAAGAGAAAACTGAAACTCTGGAAGTTGAATGGACTCACTCAAGGTTAGTAGAAACTAACAACTTTCTACCTGGTATCTGTCCCCTCTTCTTCCTTACGAACAAATCCTTGATTTTGTTTAGAGTGGCAATGTTCCCAGAACAAAATAATCACCTCCCCAGCCTTCCTTGGAGCTAGGGGTGCATATTACCCATTTCTCACAAAGGTGTAAGTGGAGGTCACTGGATGGGGTTGGGGGAAGCTTTCTAAGGGGTAACAAATGCCTTGTGTGCTCTTTTGTCTCTCTCCCTCCTGCTTGTAATGCAGACATAAGATTAGTTGTTCAGCTTGAACACTGTGGTTTTTAATCAGGTGCCAGAATCCATTCTGGGTGTGAAAAAATGTTCACATTTAGAGCAATATCTCTTTCTGGTAATCCATCAAGTGTTGCTAACAGTAGGCAAGGACCCATTTATGGATGCTACACACCTTAATTGAATTCTACTAGTTTTCCTGTGGATGCAAAGAGTATACACAAAGTTCTACAGAACTTAAGAGGGACAAGAAGCTTCCAGCTGTATATCCAAGAAGGATTATGATTGTGTCTTGCCTCCTACAGAGCCCTAACTGTGAACATCAGCATGTTAACTTTTGCTGCTTGTTCTAAGAGGTTTTCAGCACCAGCTCGTAAAGGAAAGTAACACACTGAAGAAGCAAAGTTCTGGTAGAACAACAGTTACAGAGCAACACTATTGGAGCTTTACGAAGAGGTGTGTTGAAAAAAGAAATGTGTATACTTCTGGATTTCTGGACCAGAGTGGAGAAATTAGAAAATGAGAAAAGGAAGAGGCAAAGAAGAAAAACTCCCATGTCTCTTTAAGCCTGCAAAACTCTTATACACTTACCTGTAAAATAGGTCATTTCGACACACCACCCTGCCCACTGTTGCTGAGCGCAACGCAGACTCTGCCAACTTGCTTAAGGAAAGTGGTTTCACGAACCTTGTAGTAAATCTTATTCGTTTCTAATCTAATTATTGCTGGCAGCTTTTTTCTTTTCTTTTTTTTTTTTTAAAGAAAAAAAATCAAGCCTTTAATCGCAAAGACTTCCTAGAGCAGAGTGATAGACTGGGACTGGACTGTTCAGCCAAGTTTTCTTTTGAGGAGAAGCAAAGATATGGTACGGTCTGAGGCCATTTCGGCTGCAGCCTCCTAGGGAAGCTGCTGTTATAAAAAGAAGTACAGAAATATAAGAAGCATGCACTGAACGCTTTAACTCAACCAACGAAACAAATAATTTAAAAAGTGGGCTTGTGGTAACTAAGGGTGAGAGTGTCCAGGAACCTGGCTGACAATTTTTTTTCCTTTTCCTTTCTTTCCTCTTCTTCTTCTTTCTTCTTTTTATTCTTTTTTCTTTTCTTTTCTTTTTTGTTATTGTTAAGGGAAAGCTGAGTATCAAAAGGATATGGAGATACAATTGGCCTTACACACTTAAGTGTTTAAAATACAGTCCCTGTATTTGTTCTCATCTCAGAAGCGCCGGGCTTGGTCTTTATTACCTATTGGATTTCAGGAAGGCTGACTTGAGATGCGCCGTTGCCATTTCCTGGCCTTCACTTATGTATTTATTTATTTTCCGGCGCTGGCAGTCAGCCCCTTTGTTACGCCTCCTCTGCATTTATTTCTGCCTGCCCTCGCACCTCCAGACAGTGCGATGGGGCTTTTTTCCAGATCTTCGCGCCGAGAGCCCGGGACGGCCAACCTCCAGGCATGCGATAAAGGCCGGGGAATGTCGACCTGGGGCCGCGCTGGGCATCCGCTTTGTGTGCGCGTTTATTTGTCTCCGCTGCGGTCCGACAGCGGCCGCGACCCCCGAGGAGGCGGGGCCTCCGCGCGCCCGGCTCCGCCTGGTGAGGGTTTCACGGCCGCCACCGCTGCCGCCGCCCTCGTTTGTTCCGTTAGATCGCGCAGCCCCGATCGCTGCACCCAGATCCTAGCAAGCCGGGCGAGACTGCCCAGGAGCCCTCGATGGCTTTCATTCCACCCAAGCCCGCTTCTTACTTTCCCCGGCGCTTTCTCACTTTTCCCGGTTAACAGCTTATGGGCGGGGAGCTCGGCAAAACTCAGACTAAAAACAGAAAAAGAGAAAAGAAAAGACAATTTCGATATACCCGCGTCGGTCCTCCAGAGTTTGTGAAGGGGCGTAAACATGTCGGAGTCTGGGGAGATGAGTGAATTTGGCTACATCATGGAATTGCTAGCTAAAGGCAAGGTAAGTGATGGGACGCGGGGCGCCGCGGCCTGGGCCCCGGACTCCGGCACTACCTGGCCTGCCACTGTGGGCGTCCGTGTTCATTCCAGCGCCTGGGAAGGGCGGGAGGCTGGAATCCAGGGGCCGCGCTCGCAGCCCGGGTGTCCCAGCAGCTGCGGAATGCAAAGTAGCCGCCTTTTCTTTATTGCGTGGCATCTCTGAAATAAGCCAAGAGGGGACTTTCGGGCGCTTTGGGGACCAGCTGGGCAGCAGTAGGGGCTCCCGGACGCCGAAGGGCGAGAGCCTAGCGTCAGAAGATGGAAAGGAGGGCGGGGCGTTGGCCAAGGGGGCGCTCCCCCACGCAACCAGGGCTCCCCAAGCGTGGTGACTTCGAGTGGGTGACCTCGCCTGTCTGGGCGCGGAGCGTGGAGGGAGGGTCCGCCCAGCGAGTGAACAGGCTCGGAGTGTGGGATCGGGGTCAGCCCGCAGTCAGAGCGTGTGGCCGGTAAATAGGGACAGCACCTTCGTTCGCCCTGCCCTGGCCTTTTCAGGCCTCCTTCCAGGTCCTTAGCTTCTGCTGCTCCAGGCCGGGAATATTTAAAGCAGCCTTCTTTTGGTAGGGAGGGGAAGATGCTGGAGGAGCGGGATTTCAGCCCCGCACCTGTCCTGGAGCCTTTAGGAACCCAGGCTGGCGCCGTCGGTGGCGCCCGCGACCACGCCCTCAGCGGGCGGGGTGGTGCCGGGCCTGAGCCCGTGCGGGAGGCTGGGCTCCGCGCTGCGTCCCAGAAATTGCCGGCAGAAGCTCCTAAGTGGTTTGCAGGCGGAACGTGTCGGGAAATACGGAGGCTGCACAGAGCACTGCCCTCCGGGACTCGCAGGCGGAGAGAAGGCGGGAAAGAGCGTCAGCGTTTGCTCTCTGCGCCTGGAGCTTCGAGAAGAGGTGATGGCACAAAGGAGCACTCGACTCCCTGCGCACGGTTAACAGAAAGGAGGATGATTCTGTAGCTCTGATGTGAGCACCTGAAACCCTGCAGTCCCACACCCCACAAACTCCAACGCCGCCTATATAGCATATGGAGTAGTTTTAGCTTCATGCCGGACAGTCCTACGGCCCCAGGGCTGGTGAGCTGGTTTAATGCACTCTCAGCCTAAAAAGTCCCAAATGAACCCTACGCCTCTCTGAATTCTCTTGTTCTACAGGCACTGAATACGTTCATCAGAAACAGAATATTCATTAACATTTCGAAAGTGGAGCTGTGTCTTGGGCCTCCCCTACCATTTACAACCCCGGGTCAGAAGTACCAATGGAGAACCCTCGTTCCACTTTTCTTCCAAGCCCAGGCTCCGTCCTGTACCTCAAGGGGCATTCAGCACACACTGACCAGTGTATCCGAGCTCTTTGTCGCCCCAGCAGCAGCCCCTTGACCACCCTTCGGGCCTAGGGTGCATATTGCGGCCCACCACTCCCTCTGAAGAATGGACCGTGGGGAGAGAAATCCCCGAGAAAGAGCTGGCTCTGAGCAAAGAGGCAGGCAGCCAGAGGAGGGCCAGAACCAGGGCCTCTAAAGAGCAAGAGGTGCAGCAGGGCCCCGACTGCCCAGGTCTAGGAGAATGCCTAACAGGGACATCTATTTGGGAATGATGAGGGGCTGGGGGGCAGGGAGGAAAAATGCCTTTGGTTGAACAAAATAAATGGACTACTCTTGATAGGGTGGAGAATAAGATGATAGGTGAATTTTCTCCTATGGTGCTCAGACATTCTTCAAAGTAAGCCAGAATTGTATTAGTTGGCTATGCTTTCCTTCAATGACAGACAAATCCTGAAATTCTGAGAGAATAATTTCGGGGTGGGACCCAGGGATTTGCATGTTAAGAACAGCCCAGGTGACCATGAAGCCGACTGATGGATGTCCCATGAACACGAAATGGGGAAGTAGGGCAGAACCATTAAAACTGCTTATAATCAAGTCAGGTAAACAAAAACAAAACCCTCTCAGAATAGCAATGGGTTCATCACAGTATGTTCACTGTAATGAAAAAACACTAACTTTCTGGCTTCATTTACTGGATTTCTCTGCTCTCTCTCTCTGCCTCTGTCTTCACTAGGCTTCAGCAATGGGCCTGCAGCAAACACATGAGCATTCCCGGTTGACTTCTAAAGGTGGAAAGGCCCGGCGGGTGTCCCTTTGAAATCTCTGAGGTTGGAAAGCAGTCTCTCCCAAGAAGAACTTAGGACAGTTCCTCTGTCTGTTTTGTGGGGGTTGGAGGGGGAGAGTTGGTCAGGAGTAGCCAGCTTATTTCCTACCCATGCTCCTCAGGCTCAAATCCTGCCCCACCCTGCAGCCCCAGTCCTAGCCCATTTAAGACCCCTGTTTTGTGTGTGGTTATACAGGATTTGAACACTGAATATTAACCATGGAATAGCAGACCGTTGAGACTGACTTGCTTTATTTTCCTCTGCGGAGTTAGGTTCCACTTTGTAGTTGGGGTTTGTAATGTAACAAATAATGGGAAACTGGTCTAGTTATGGGAGTTAAAGGAGAGCAGAGGCCTGTAGTTGGTCTGCCCCCCCGCCCCACCATCCCTCAAAGTTGAGACCACTGAGTTGATCATCCTCTTAATTTCTCTCACTTTTCCCCCAGATTTGTTTCATCCTGTACTGGACTTCTCAAACTGTACATAATTAAAAATACATAGCTTTACATTTTTACAAACTTAATACCTGAATATATGCTTGTTGTCAAATACTCAAACTTCACAGAAAGTTTTACAGAGTAAAAAGTGGAAGTTCATGCCCACATCCAATCTCATTCCTTCCCCAGTGGCAGCAGTTTGTGTGTCTATTTCAAATTAAATTAGCATACCATATGTTCTCTGAAATGTGGGAAGTGAGCCGTTTTTCTTAGGGTAACCTAAAACCTACAGGACAAACTGGATCAGCTTATTTACTCTATTGTGATGGCTACGTTAATATTTAAAGTACATAGTGATATGTGCCATTGTGACCTTTCTGCTCATCAAACAATACTGCATAAGTGTAGTTAATACTTACGATCATTCTCAAGAGGCTTAAAAATGTAAATGTATTTCCTTATATTTCACTAACAGTGAAACTTTTACCATTTCTGAAAGCTGTCTTTCTGTTTATTTTGCAGCTAATCTCTTTGGATTAAAAGAGGTTTCCAAATCTGTGGTCAATATCTAAGGTTACTCAAAGCAGTATTTTTAAACTGTTTTGGTCTCTTGAAAGATTGGTCTCACTAATTTTTTTATCACCATCATACACTCTTCTGGAATCATATAATGAAGATTTGATGACAAGGAATATAGAATTCAAATTTTAGTATATCTGTTTGTATTTTGTGTATTTAGCATATTTACATTTATGTGTAAATAAACAGATGGTACTTTCGGTTCCCATAATTTAATAATTACTGTTCAGGCATATCTAAGGAGTAAAATAGTTTCAACAAAATAAGAGAGGCTTTGTAAATCTTATATTTAATTTCGATAGGGAAATAGGCAATGATACCATTACTTGGTGAATTATTATTTTAACTTTGAACATCTTTGAGGCACAAAAAATTCAAGAATTTTTACAAACACAAACTTTAAAAAAAGAAGGAATTAGGCTTGGAAAGTCCTCAAATCTAGACTAATAAAAGGTCGTAAATATCTCCTGGGACCAAAACAAAAATACCACCAAATGATCTGTTTCAGAAGGATGAATAGATAGTTGCTCACACAACTAAAATCTAAACCAGGGTGATAGTGGTAAGGTTGTGCCCACTGTGTAAGTATTTTTATTTATTTATTTATTTTTGAGAGACAGTTTCACTCTGTTGCCCAGGCTGGCATGCAGCGGTGCAATCTCGGGCTCACTGCAACCTTCACTTCTAGGTTCAAGCAATTCTCCTGCCTCAGCCTCCCTAGTAGCTGGGACTACAGGCACATGCCACCATGCCCAGCTAATTTTTTGTATTATTAGTAGAGACAGGGTTTCGCCATGTTGGCCAGGCTGGTCTCGAGCTCTGACCTCAAGTGATCTTAGCTTCCCAAAGTGCTGGGATTACAGGGGTGAGCCAATGCGTCAGGCCTACAAAGTATTTTTTAAAGGTTTTTAAAATATATATATTGAAATTGGGCAAAATGTATGTGCTGTGGAGAGTATGGAAGGCAGGCAGAAGATTTAGATTTTTACAATATTATTTGAAAAGAGCTAATTTCATAAATATAATTTTCCTCTTTTTTTTTTTTTTTTTTACTATATTGCACTAAAGATAATTTGGAAAAAAGGTGTCTCCTAAACTACTTTGTAAAAGGATGTTTAAATCCGATTTTTAGTGAAATCGTAAATTCTGTATTGTATACTTACCTGTGGGCAGTGCAATAAGGATGCTGGACTGAGACCCAGGTTTGAATCCTGGCTTTTTAGTATATAGCCATGTAATCTTAAGCATATTACTTAATCTATGGGTGGAGGTGGAGAGGAATTTTACTTGTTACATGTCTTCTCTGAAAAGAATTATACCTATTTCACAGGGTTACTACAAGAGTTAAATGAATATTGTATGCAAGTTTCCTAATACCGTTATTGACACATCATAGGCCCTCAATAAATGAAAGCTATTACTTCTAGCTTTTATGACAACAGGGTTGGGCCTTGAGACACCTTATATCCACACTGTGATCATTAAGAAGTGGAGGTAGGGTTGACAGAAAAAATACAGGATGTGTAGAGTTGAATTTGAATTTAAGATACTCTTTTTTTTTTTTTAGAATATGTGCAATGTGATATTTGGAACATATACTAAAAAATTATGTATCTGAAATTCCAATTTAACTGGGTGTATTATGTTCTTATTTACTAAATCTAGTAACCCTGAGGGGAAGAATAATGAGATGTGGTCAACAGAGAGGGACCTGCTAGATTGCCTCAAAATACTACCAATGTTGTTTACCTCAAGTCGGCCAAAAAACGTCTTTGCCCACTAGTTATTCAGCCAATACACTCATCATTAATGGAAAAGAGTCTGTGAGAGCAGCACTGGGTTCCTCTCATCTTCCTAATTGCAAATTGTTGCTCTGGTGCTACTGTTTAGTAGATAAACGCTTACTAGATTTTGTCTTAAATAAAAGTTTAAATGGACGAGAAGACAACACATCAGACATCAGTGTACAAAGAGTAGGTAGTTGTGTTAAACTGAGTGCTGAAAGAGTTCAGAATAAAGGGAGATAATCAATGAAATCAAAACTAATAAAGGAGGCTCCAGAAGTGCAACTTGAAAGATGAGGAGGATTTGGCCAGGTAGTGGAAATCTGAACTCGCTGGCTCTCTGGACTCCTCTCCCCTGACTTTGTTCCCATAGAAACACTTTATGACTGGTAAGCTTGGCCTGTCAGAAGCTTGAGTCAATAATTGATAGACAATGCCATTCATTATCCCTTCACTGGTAACCTCCTGATACCCAGTAGTACAGGTGGTCTGTGTGCCAGTCTACTCTAAAACCCTGTAATTTACTTTATTTCCATATTTCTTATTTTCTATACGTCCAGGGTCTCTCTTGATTTTATATCTATGGTTGCTTAATGATTAGGGGTTCCCAAAAGGGGGCAGGCTTTAGGGAATATATGGCCATATTACCTTGTTTCTATTTCTTGTTTAGTATATACTAATAGAATGGTGGTACCCTGCCTGTCTGATCTCAGATCAAACCAATTAATATGCACCATGGTCATTAGGTCCTGACCCAGCCAGAAATTTAATCTCTTGTTGGGTATTAGGAATCAATATGGAAAGAGACCAAGTCAGCTTATGGAGTAGTATATGGTTTATAGGGTAAGGGGTTTATATTTTAAATATCAAGCAATGAACATTGATTGAGGCTCTGTTTTATCAAAGACTGAATTGTGTGTGTTTGGAGAGGGGAGACTGTTGACCTTTTGGACTTCATGAAGTAGATGGATGTGAGACAGCTCATGCCCCTGTGATAGAAGAGCAATTAAGTGATACCAGAAGTGGAAAATAAGATATCACAATGAAGGCAAGAGTATTGAAGGTCTGTGAACTTAGGGGGATAAGAATGGAATAGGTTTTCTTGTTTTGCATTTTTAACCCAGATTTTAAAATAAACTATTGAAAAAGGAGGTGCTAGGATACTCCAAACTGGGGAGGAGTAGGCACCAAGGGATAGCATATACAATGGAAAATAGGGGAATAATGATTTTTTTAAAGTTCAGATATTTCATGCCATTCCTGCTAAAAAGCCTTCCAAAGCTGCTCAACATCTACAAAAGCATAGAGGCCTTCCATACTTTACCAGACTTACTTTGTTACCACAAGTTTATCACCCTTCCTCTAACTCCTGCTCCCCAACTCATGCGCGTGCACACACACACATACACACACACACTCTCAAATACACGGGTTCACACACCCCCTCGCCCCATTATGTTCCAATACCAAGCTGCCTGTGGTCCAGGACTGTAGCTTATTCTGCTCCTTGTGCAAATAGAGGCATGAGGACAGGGCTATACATATGGAATGTCATCTGTAAATACTGAATTGATAGGCTGCTAGGCATGTGGAGAGGGGGCTTAGAGTGGGCATGGGAATCGGTTGTGAGGATGAGAAAGAACAGAATCTGACAACAACCTATGATTTAAGGCTGACCAGACATAGGGAAGAAGAAAGGAAGATAAAAAGCAAGCAAACAAAACCCACCAGGATTTTAACTTGAGGAACTGGGAAGGGTCTTGGTATCCTGGGAGGCTGGGATGTTTGGATGTTGCAACAGAGAAGTTGATGACTTGACACAGAGCATGGCAGCCCAGGGAGACAGAAATGATCAGGGAACTGGGAAAGCAGTGGTTTAAAATGGCAGTTTTCGTATTTGTCTTCTTCCCCCCACCTTTTGTTTTTAAAAGTGTATGGATAGAACGGATTAACATTAAAAAGTTTTAGAAGTATAACATGTACATATAAGATGCAAAGATAATACATGTGAGTGAAGAGTAAGTCTTGTATACCTGACTCCATCCCTTACTTCTCCACAATGGTTATCATTTTTTGTGCTCTATTCCAGATGCTTATTTTTGTTTACCTATAATTTTAGTTTGCCTCGTCTTTTGGCCAGAGTGGCAGCATATAGAATCCATATGGTTTTGTACTTTTTTTTTTTTTTTTTGGAGACAGAGTCGCGCTCTGTCGCCAAGGCTGGAGTGCAGTGGCACAATCTTGGCTCACTGCAACCTCTGCCTCCCGGTTTCAAGTGATTCTTCTGCCTCAGCCTCCTGAGTAGCTGGGATTACAGGTGTGTGTCACCACGCCAGGCTAATTTTTGTATTTTTAGTAGAGAAGGGGTTTCACCATGTTGGCCAGGCTGGTCTCGAACTCCCAACCTCAGGTGATCCACCCGCCTCAGCCTCCCAAAGTGCTGGGATTACAGGTGTGGACCACCACGCCCATCATATTTTAGAAATCCTTTGTCATCAGTACATTGATTTTAACTGCTGCACAGTATTCTATGGTATGAATGTACATTACGGATGATGTTTAGTTATAAATAAGGTCTCAATAAGCTCTTTGCACATGCTTTTGTGCACACATGCAAGTATTACAGTGGAAACATTCTTAGATGTGGAATTGCTTAGTCAAAAGGTACAAATACTTAAAATTTTTGATAGGATTTGTAAAATGTCCCTTCAGATAAGCTGTACCAACATATGCTACCACAAAAAGGTTTGAGCAAAATAAGAGAGGCTTTGCAAATCTTATATTTAATTTTGATAGAGAAATACGCAATGATACCATTACTTGGTGAATTATTTTAACTTTGAACATCTTTGAGGCACAAAAATATTCAAAAAATTAACAAACACAAAATTTACTTTAAAACAAGAAGACGCTTATACTTTGAAAGAATTAGGCTTAGAAAGTCCTCAAATCTACACTAATATAAGGTCTTAAACATCTCATGGGACCAAAACAAAAATACCACCAAATGATCTGTTTCAGAAGGATGAATAGATAGTTGCTCACACAACTAAAACCTATACTGGGGTGATAATGGTAAGGTTGCGCCCACTGCCTAAGTATTTTTTTTTTTTTTTTGAGACACAGTTTTGCCAAGTGTATTAACATCATGTTTGAATTTTGTGGATCAAGTAGAAAAAGTTTTGGAAGTATAACATGTACATATAAGATGCAAAGATAATACATGTGAGTGAAGAGTAAGTCTTGTATACCTGACTCCATCCCTTACTTCTCCACAATG